TAAGTGGCCGCTCATGGACATTTTTTGAATAGTGGGTACTAATTACCTCGCCTTTTTTTAATTCAAATTCGGAATATCTTTATTCAAATAGAAGCTTGCGAGCTCTTATGAAACGTAAAACATGATAATTTCTACATAAGTTCGTAAGTAAGTTACCACCGGTTCGGAAGGGAGGTTCTAGTGAGAAGACAAAACTCAACAGTTGCTCTTTTTTTTTTAAAAGATCAGATTACAATATAACATAGGTATAATAAGGTCATATAAGATTCTCGAGTGGCAGCCTCGAACTGGCCATCACGGTGTGGGACGACCCCCCACTAGATGGAGTGACGACCTGTGCAAATGTGCGGGAAATCGATGGATGCAGGTGGCTCAAGATCGTGCTTCGTGGGAGTCTGTGGGGGAGGCCTATATTAAGCAGTGGGCAAACAGCCATCATCATGATGATGATGATGATTATGATAGGTATAATATTCTGATTTTAGCCTACGTGAGTATCAACAGTGGCAGGCATTGGCGTCCTCAAGATATTCTGCAATGATATTATAAAGTTTAATTTTCATAATTTCACGGAATCAAAAATCACTGCGTTAATTTTGTGACCTTGCACAATCTGTGCACAAGCCCAAAAAGCGATTCACAAGAGCAAATCAGAAAAAAAGCTAAGCTTCTTTCCCAAAAGAAAAATCTGGCGTACATTTCATACGTCTGTAAGACTTTACTTGCAAACACTCAGCAAAGTACTACTATTATATTACTGATGCACTCCAATCGAATCGAAATTCATACCTAGCAAATGATTTACAGAAACACGAATATCGATGTAAACACTCGGCGAATGATTGAATACTGTAACGTCGAGATACAGACGAATAGCAGACATAGCAAGGGGCACTAGAAATTTGTAAAGGGCAATAAATATTTATTGGCTCTTTGACATGGCTTGCAACGAGGCGAAGGGCGACTCGCAATATCGCTGTGGCTGTCTCCAAGGTAGGGTGGAGAGACTTGTGTAACGGTTTGAGAACCTGCCACTACATAATCTATTAATATTTACATAGTACGAAACAAAGTCGCTCCCGATGTTTGTACGCCTTAGATCTTTTAAACTACGCAACGGATTTTAATACGGTTTTCAGCAATACGAAAAGTGAAAGGAAAAAGATAAATTACCAGTTTACGTCATCACAAACCATGGTAACTATAAGATAAAGCATTCGATAATAGTTCTTACCAGTACAGTTCATGCCTGTGAAAAAAAAACGTATAGGGTCACTATAGATATTTTTAGCCTTCATTGGTATGTAATGAGGGGAAAGGAATCGATTCTAATATCCATACTTCCTTACTAATATTATAAATGCGAAAGTAACTATGTATGTCTGTTTCGCTTTCACTCCAAAACTACTGAACCGATTTAAATGAAATTTGGTACACAGATAGTCTAGACCCTGAGAAAGGACATTGGCTATTTTTTAATTGGAAAAAAGTGTTGTTAAAAGCTTCAACGCGAGCGAAGCCGCGGGCGAAAAGGTAGTAATTTAATATATGGCAAAGCACACTGTACGTTTTTTAAGTTTATATTATAGTACCTGGAGGACCGGAGCTTTGCTCGGTCTTTTTTTTTTTTGGTAAATCGTGTATTTTGGAAATTACATTTAGATACAAATTACTGAGTAATGAAATATGCGTAATATTTTTCGAACTTACCGTAAATGATCGTGACACGAACCACGGCCTTCTGTTTCGGGGCCATAATTTTTTTTTGTAGTGAAATTTACCGTCGTATTCGAATGATATTTTTCATTCCCTGAAAACTGGGATAAAACAACATTTTCTAAAAATGAAACCAAGCCAGATCGATTTTTCACTCCCGAATCTACGCTCATACTAAATTTCATGAAAATCTGGAGCCGTTTCCGAGATTCGAAAAATATATATATATATATGGAAATTTACCAAAGAAAAGTATGTTTATGTATGTCTGATCAGTTTTCTAGACCCATAGTACAAGCATTCTTAGTTTGGGACCACCCGAGAAAAAAAAAAGAACGTGCCTAAAATAAATTATTTGCTTTTAAAGGATAGTGATACATTTGTAATACATTTTTGTAGAGATATCGAATGTTACTTTTTGCCGCCCAGTGCCGTGAAAAAAAAAAGTAATGTAAAGTAAAACGGCCTATACATTCCCTGGGCGAAGGCGAAGCCAGATCGATATTTATTCGGCCTTGTATAGAGAATATAAGGGGCATGGCCTACCACGCGGCCCACGCGGAGCACGTGATAAGTCAGCACTTAATATTAACAATTTCATTTAGGTGATCGCAAACTCCGAGATTCCGAGTAAATAGAATTAAAGGTGATTAGTTGAAACTGAGAACAAAAATTTCTATATTTTTTTCCTGTAATTTTAACTTCGGATGCATGAAGCTTTGATCATAAAATAAACTATATTGATTATGATCAATTTCATGTGCCCATCTGTTTATCTAATACTTAATTCTTCTACTTATCTTTTACTCTATATCGCTGCCGATGATGATTTATTAGGGAAGTGTGGACGGCAATATTAAGACAGCCCTCAATTTGCTATTTAGCATATTATGCCATAGCGCAATATGTCAACGACGCCAGTGTGTGGAGTTAATACTGTTGATGAGACACGTAGGTTAAAATAAGAATATTATTATATTACACTAGCTGTGCCCGCGACTTCGTCCGCGTAGAATTAAAAAAAAAATCTAACATAAAAGTAGCCTGAGTTACTCTTTATTACATCAGCTATCTGTCAGTGAAAGTCCCATCCAAATCGGTCCAGCCGTTTCAGAGATTAGCCGGAACAAACAGACAGACAGACAGACAAAAATTGTGAAAAGTGTTATTTTGGTATATGTACCGTGTATACATCCATACGCATTTATTTAAAAGCGGTTATTTTAATATTACAAACAGACACTCCAGTTTTATTTATCTGCATGTATAGATGTTATATTGTAATCTAATCTTTAAAAAAAGAGCAACCGTTGAGTTTCTTGCCATTCTCTTCTCAACAGAAACTGCATTCCGAACCGGCGGTGGTAACTCACTTACGAACTTATGTATTAATTATTATATAAAATTCGACGTTTCATATGAACGCGCAAGCGTCTATTTGAATAAAAATATCTTGCGTTAGCAATTTGCTACACCTCAAATCTCATGTTGACGTCTCTTGGTAGTCAGCCATTTGTCCAACCCAAAGTACGAGATGTAAACAAAGAAACAGTGTTGGCATTAATAGCGTGGAAAACTAAGCGTAGAAAACTGCGAGCAATTAGACTTTGACGAAAACTCTTCGTCAAAGTCTAATCGCTGGCCGTTTACGTCATTGTAAACGTAGATAAGTCGATATCCAGATAAGTCGAGGTCAAATGGAATAGATTCAACCACACATTATTTATCAATCACGCCTATAATTTTTATTCGTATGCTTTTGAAGTGAAGTGTTTATCTTCAATGCAAGCATTATCATCATTTCACTCTGTTTAAGTCCACTGCAATCTGACATAGGTCTTCATTTATTATCCCTATCAAATTCCTATGTAATAGAACTGTTGCCATATCTGGGCTGGGGCTGCAAAATGCCATCTGGCTGCCTTGGGCTCAATGGAGAGGCGTGCGGAAAGGCTCATTGGTGAACATAACTTGGTTAAAACCAATCTCACTAGCCTTGAGCACAGGCGCAGAGTAGCCAGCCTCTCGGTTTTCTACAGGATACATTTTGGAGAGTGTGCGTTGGAGTTGCATGATCTTATTCCTCACGCCCCTTTCCATCATCGGACAACCAGGCGTACGGCGGGGCTCCACCCTTATGGTGTCGACGTTCCACGTACAGGAACAAAGCGATTCGCTTCTTCATTTATCATCCGTACAGCCAAGGAATGGAACAACCTGCCGGCGTCCGTCTTTCCGCCCGATTACAACATAGGCGTCTTCAAGGCAAGAGTGAATAGGTTTTTACTGAGCTAGCGCGCTTACCATCAAAGGCTGCATCGCCACTAACCATCAGATGGGATGACAGTCAAGTGCTGGCCAGTTTTGAATTAAAAAAAAACTTATTATCATCATAACGATACTGTAGAAATCACATGTTAGTGGATTAATCAGACTAAGAAACCACGTGGTCGTGATTTGGGCCGTTATCGCTGTAGTATATTTAGGTAGGCGATGTTTCTCAGTTACCGATAGGGAACAAGCAACTGCAACTGATTACCGCATTCTAAATTTATCTATACTATACGTTTTTTAATTATCTTCGCTGTGAGAAATATAAGCGTAATTTACTGTGTCATAATATCTTTATACATATACTTCTACTGTACGTATGTATGTCACTGAACTCCTCCTAAGCGTTGGACCGATTTTAATGAATTTTTTTGTCTTCATGTCGATTCGAGATAGTTTAAATTCACAATTCGGTCCACTACATTTTTTTTAGACTTAAACGTGACGTTTGTCCGGTCTGCTAGTTTAAATATAAAACTGCTGTGAGAACATTTTAGATATTAGGAACCAAAATCTATACAGATAAATAAAACGGCTGGACCGATTTGGACGTAACTTAGGCTAATTTTATTTTAGATTTTTTTTTATTTTAAATTCCACGCGGACGAAGTCGCGGGCACTGCTAGTATTTAATAAGATTTAAATTCATCGCTCTAAAGTCACAAAAGAGAAATTGATTTAGATACTTTTTAGTTATTATTTCCCTCTTATACGGGTAATCGTATCCAATTAGGGATATAGCGTACATATATAAAAGGAACTACATGCTGTATAACACAGTACATAGACGATTTAAAGGGACTAAAGGACTCTTGGGACGAAAATTTTCGGTATCAGTATTCGTGTCAAGGAGATCTAACACTCTACTGTGTTTTCACCGTGTCTCACGAAAACTTATCTCGTTCGCAGTACGCGACCGCTGACAGTTTTCCGATAACGCCGGCCGGGATGCGATGGCCCCTGATAACAGCGATAAAGCCGCGCTCAACGCCAGTATCACGCCAACCGCTATGACTAACGTGGCGCTGGTGGTCGGGGCGGCTAGCAATTTAGGTTTCCAAGTGCTGAAAAGGCTCACCGCGGTCTACAGAGGTAAAATCTATTTCACCACCGAAGATGTCTCCACCGGGTACAATATACAAGAGACGTTCGAGAAGTGCGCAGACGTCGAGTTCGTTCAAATGGACATCACGTACACGAAGAGCATAATCAAGTTGAGGCACCACATCCAAGACCTGGACGAGAGGATCGAGCTGCTGATAAATGTAACGGAGTACGTTGCGACCGAGAAGAGGCTGGGTCACGCGGAGAAAGTGAGACGGACACTGAGTGTGAACTTCTACGGTTATATAAACTTCGGGAAATTAGTCTATCCAATTCTCAGTGACGGCGCTAGGGTTGTGAACGTATCTGGTCCCGCAGGGCTCTTAGCTACTATACAAAATGAAGATATCAGAAGAAGAATAAGCGATCCCACTCTCACTGAGGATGAGCTGGTCGCTATCATGCAGGAATATGAAGAGGCTGCTAGGAAAGGAGTAGAAAAGACAGAGGGGTGGGGAATGAGTGTGAACGCCGTTAGCAAGGTCTCTCTGAATGCTGTCACCTTTCTCCAGCACAGGGAGTGGTGTGACAAGGGTGTGGTGATAAATTGTGTGAATCCAGGCAACATGTCCACTCGGGAGGGTAGGAAGACGGCAAAGGTTTATGAGGAGGGCGCCAAGGCGATTTTGTACCTGGCAATGGAAGCGCCGCTCTCGATTAAAGGAAATTTCGTGTGGAGCAACTACAATGTAATCGAATGGAATACTGACCCTTTTGTCGAAGTGACTAGCGTGTAACGTATGTTAGAATATTATTTATTAATTAGTAATAATTAAAGTAAAGGCCATTAGTGAAGTGAGTTAGTCCTGTTAATGTTTTACTTCTGTAACTCATTAATTCAGCATTCTCATTATTCCAATACAATATTACACAATATTTATTGTTATACAAGTACGTAATGAAAGTATAAGAATTAAGACAAAATGTCTATAAGTATGTATTATTTATTGTAATGTTTCGAATAAATTTTCTTACGCGGTTACTTTTCAGTATTACATATAAATGAATAAAATACAATATTTTGTCAAATATAAAATGCTTTGAAATTTTGTATTTGACTTTTTTCTTTGCAGAATCAATTTCTATTTTTAAATGATATTATTTTGATGCTATTCTCGGCACCCAAGATGAAATTTAAATTTATTAAGGTTTTCTACAAATTTTAAATGTCCTTAGTACATAAATACATCTAAATACTTGTGAAAAGTTTAATAAATTTGAATATTATTTAAACGTATTCTCTTCCTTCGCCTGAACCGAGTTAAAATTTTTAGGAAACTGTCGAAAGGAAGTAAAAGTTTTAAGCTGCATTATTTTGGTAATATAAGTTCATATCTACGACAAAAAAAAATCCGCCAGCAATGAACAGATCTTAATCTGGAACAGTCTATTAGACTTGTCTGTCCATAAGGCCCACTTACAAGGTCCTTGGTTAGCATAATTAACGCGAAATTAGCTGCGATAACAGGGTTTAATAAATAATTTACCTTGCGCCATCCAAAGTTAGGAGTTAACCTAGTGTAAAACTTTAAATATTTGTTATCTGATGACGATGAAGCAATCTTTAATTATTTAATTGAATATGTAAGTTCGAATTTCTGTGGCAGACGGGTCGCAGAACGGGCCGATTATTATAGCTACTACAAAGACTTTTACAGAAAAAGAGAGAGTCTGCTTTATATATTGAATAACATTAAACGCAAACCACGGTATTCACACAATCACAAGTAAGTTACAAAACTATATGTTTTTGGTACCTACATACATTCTTTGTTGGACATTACGTTTTATAATTTTCTACAACATTATGCAATCATATCATCATTATGAACATCACACAAACATGTTATCACTGCTATAGAAATTTGGTCTTCAACAATGTCACACCATGAAGGATAAAACGGGGAAACCCAAATATAATGTTCTGTGTGTAAAAGGGATAGACGTATAACATTACTTTTTTTGTTTATGCACTCATCTTTGGTCGAGATTCAATATAAGCACAAAGATACTTTAATGTTCCAAGCTAAAAAAATGATATGTCTGGTTAGTTAACCCAGTATTTTTATTGCTATTTTTAATTGGCGCAAGACATATTGAGAATTAAATTTTTAATTAGCTAACCCCGATTTTATTAACTCTTCATTTAGTAATTTTACCCGCCGATTGGCATAACGTGCGAGTATTTATGTGCGGGGTAGCGAAAAATGTAAAGAATGCTAAAGGGATGTCACTTTTGCGCGGAACGTGCGAAATTTGCGTTCAAGGCCCAAAAATGTCAAGAAACATGTTAAATTGAACAAGTGCGTGTAAATTCGGAAATGTTGTTTACGCGGAACAAGGTGGGAACATTAAACTTTTATTCGGAACAAAATATTAATAACCCTTGAACCCTAAAAATACATTCTTTATCCATTTTGTACATTCTTTATTGAATAGAATCTGTAGGATTTATTTTTAAGAGAATTTTCAAATTTTTCTATTTATCAAATTTTACCCATTCATAAAAAATATGTATTATATTGTGTTTCAAAGTAGAACATTATAATATGTAAGTAACCTCCCTGACTTAATTTGATTAACGTATTTAATGATACTTTTAAATTAATTCATATCTCATAGCAGGTTTTCTTTTTCCCCAAGAAATATTGAAAAAACCACATAAAAATTAAAATCTATTATTACCTAATTATAGGATTTATTACGTGCGTTGATTCAAAACATTTCACGCTAAAACATTCATGTGAATATGATCGATTTTTAGTGTTCCGTATTATGTGCTGACTATTACTCCGGTGTCTGTCTGTCTATCATCAAGCTGTATCTCAAGAACCGTGACCGTTAGATAGTTGAAATTTTCACAGATGATGTATTTCTGTTGCCGCTATAACAAAAAATAATAAAAAAACTGATTAAAAAATAACAAAACTGTGGCACTCGGGGACTGCCGCGGTAAAGCTAGTGCATAGCATTTTTTATCAACTTATGCAATTATAATTTTTTTTTTATTTATACAGTATTTTTTTTCTTTAATATTAATTCAAGTTACACTTTTTGAGCGTGGTGACCGATAAGAAAACAATTATTTTTTTCTTTTATTGAATAAATGAGAAGTTAATATCGTTTAAAATATTTTTATTATCTTACAATACATGTAGGTTATTCAGGAATTTTTATCATTGAAAGTATAGGTTTATGGTAACTGAAATAAGGAACATAAATTTGAGACTTGATATGCTATAAATATCATATCGTCATATGCTAATATAAGGTTATAATATCATATTATAATATCTATCCGTGTCGTACCATATACATACACGTTAAGCGAATGCTCGGCCGACCTACATGGTAGAAGGAGTAAGTTTTATTTTCGTTACGAAATTTCTTAATTCGGTCGCCGCGCTCAAAGTCCCCAATAAAAGCTATGCAATAGCTTAAATTTTTTTTAAGTGGGGCTCCCATACAACAGACATGATTTTTTATTGCCGTTTAGAGAGTACTATGAGGACGGAGAGTTAAGTGATTAAGGATTCATGAATCACTTTTACTGTGCCAAGGCTTCGGCGTCGGGGGTCGTGGGTTCAATTCCCACACCGGACAAGTTTTTGTGGGGTCCACAGATAATTGTTCCGGGTCTGGGTGTTTGTTACCCAAGGGGGGTTGACGTCAAGCAGGAGGCCGGTCTTAAAAATTAAGCCAAAACCACTTACAACATAATTCGCATGTTATACCGACCCCGGCTAAGTGGGATAACGGCAAGAGGCTGATCTTGATAAAATCATTTTATAACACATATTCGTCACAATTAACGATTTTGATCATCGTTATATTTGTTTTAATATGCCTCACTTTTTGATGTGACCTGGCAATGGACTTCGGTTCTCATAATTAAAAAAACTTAAAATAACTCTGCCAAACTCTAACCTTGCCATTAGGGCACGGCCGAAGAGACTTCAAAACTCTACAATTACTTTTAAATACAACACGACACTATCTTATCTCTTATCTGCGTAACGCACTACGAATTACGCACCGCCCGTGTCGGTGGCCTTATAATTAGACGCTTACTAATGGTCAATGCCATTAGGCTGTATGCTGCCGCCCGAGCCACAAAAATTTCCTGAAGTACTATATCTTGTATCTTGTCTTAACTGATGTTTGTGCTTTCAGTCTCGAGACTATTAAAGCTTTATCCGACGCAGAACCGGTGGGCTGGCCAGAACTCACGGGTTTGGGTGAAGTACTATAGCGTCTTTTAACAGCAATTGAGCTGAGCAAGTTGGTACACCTGATATATATGTATATAACCATCGTCAACGGCCCTCTAAAGCGCATATTTTCAGATGCGTTGCCAACCTTCTTGGGTACTTAAGTCACCAGTTGCAAAGCAAAGTATTATATACTTGTAAGTATGGCGCTACCAATAAAGTAGGTAATTCATGGGCAGCTCAAACATTTCGTCTAAATCTTTGAAACGTTAACAACTACAAGAATAAATTACTTAAAAAAATACAACTGGCTGCGAAACCAGAAGATGTAGGTTCGAATCGAGTCGAAAGTTTATCTTCAATTATCATTACAAAAACATTTCACCTTATAAAATAACGCGTTTTATAGAAGTTACCCTTAAGCAGTCATCGTGTTGAAACAATCATCTATAGTTTATACGGACCTTTGTAGACTTGATTAAAGAAAAAACTGTTTTTCTGTTAATAATGCTAACGGGTTACTCTATTAAACGTGTTATTAGGTTTATGATCGCAATTCTCATAACACTATGTTTAAACCCTACCCTATCCGCAGGGTATATATATATATATATATATAGGCACAGAACAGTCGTAATGAAACTGTAATTATGTGGCCCCGTTACCAACTTCTACTAATAATTTGGTAATCCAAACACTCTGCACAATAACAGCGAACATAAAATACAAAATCAGCATAAAAATTGCTTATCCGCAATAGGATTTGAACTTGCATTAACTCAGCAACTACACATATCTTCCGACGTCAAAACTATCAAGTTTACTTTCAAAAGCAACTTAACTAATATATACCGCTGGCAACATTCTGCATTACGGGAAGTTTGTCAATAACCGCCGTAAAAGTAGCGCTATTCAATTATGAACTTTATCGATTAACAGACAAAGTTCATAATTGAAAACAGGATCTCGAGGCATCGTTTCGCCGTACAAAAAAGAGTTTACTGCAGTCGCTAAAACTTCAATTAATTAACTTCCTAACGGAGAAAAAGTTGAAAAGTTTGGCCACCGCCGAGAAAAGCTAGTACAAGATGTTGCTCGCAGTATCCCGTTCACGGCAGATTCGATTCCAGCAAAGTGTTTGTTGCCGATTGCTTGTTTTTCACAGTTTGAGATTAGTATGAGAAAAATGATTTTTTTTTAATGTGATAAAGTTGCAAACGAGCTAGCCCGATGATTAGTGATAACCGCCGCCCATGGACAACACCCGTCGGGTAGCAAATGCGTTGTCACCTTTAAATAAAGTGGGCCCCGGCTACCTCACTCACCAGACGAAACGCAGAAGTGTAACACTTCTACTTTACGCCGGTCTTCTGTGAGGTCGTGGTACTTACCCGGACGGACCTGCCCATTCGTGCAACAGTGAAAACTGTTGCGTGGGCCACGCAACAGGGTACCACAGCAGATGTTGAAAAAGATTTAGATTAAAAAATTTCCATTTAACTATGGGTGATTTAACTATGGGT